AATAGTGATTAATTAAGCCGAGGGGGTAACAAAGCGAGAAAACGATCAATTGAAAATCATTTGCGATTCGAAAAGTCAATCCAAACAGACAACTTCCTAAATCCCCTTGAAGACATTGATTGTTGAACTTACTTTTTAAGACATCTTCGAATGTAAATTACGAATTGAGTAGTCAAGTTTAAAAGCTCTTTAAGCTGATTGCTTCTTTCTTTATCATTATTTTTATATATCTTTAAATTTGTTTTGGTTTTAATTTAATTGTTAGAATTATATACAGATACGTCTAAAATCTAAAAGTATTATTTAATTGTTAACTGAAGTACAAGAATTAACTTACGATCTCCCAATAAGTGTTTTGTTAAAAAAATAAATACAGATACGGCTAATCATGTACCAATTTCCTGCATTGTTACATGAAATTGAGAGCAAACAAATCGATAGTCTGAAACTAGTTAATTTTTATTAAATGAAAAAAAAATGGAAATTATAATGGATGAAGAGAATAGATCATGGCAGTGAGCGAATCTATGGGGAACAGAATTGTAGCACCCGCCAGCTCAGTTGCCTACTTCTCACATATAAGAAAGTACCTGGAGGGCCTGGAGCTCGGTTTGTTTTTTTTTTTTGGTAAATCTATTTTATTATATTTGGAAATTAAATTTAGTTACAAATTACTGAGTAATGAAATATGCATAATATTTTTCGATCTTACCGACGTAATAATAAGAAAATATTCGTGGGGATCATATTATATTACTACACAGGTAATTCAGTGATATATTAACAGTACCGAAAAGGTATTCGTGTGGCGGCAGTAACTTGCCGGGAAATTGGTTTATACATGTGTTACTAACGTAACGTACTAATTTACTGGAATGGTGACCCTCATTGACGAAAATTCAGCGAGCAATTTGTATTTGCTATTACTTCTTGTGCCACGTATATTGAAACTAGTGTTTTTCTTTTAATCAGAAGGTAGGAAGCGAAAATTGCAACACTCCGGTTACCACACTCACCAGACGAAACGCGGAGTAAGTACCACGACCTCTCTGAAGACCGGCGTGAAGAAGAAGTGTTGCACTTTTTCGTTTCGTCTGGTGAGTGAGGTAGCCGGGGCAGCATTTTATAAAAAGGTGGCAACGCATTTGTAACCCTACGGGTGTTGCAAATGTGCATGGGCAGGTGGTTATCATTTAACATCCGGTGAACCGCAAGCTCGTTTGCCACTTTCTCACATACAAAAGAGGTACACTTCCACTTTACGCCGGTATCCCTGTGAGTATGTGGTACTTCCCCGGACGGCTGCCCATTTGTGCAAGCGCGAATACTGTTGCGAGTCTTTGCTTTTTTACATTCCATCGAAATAAAATATGAGAATCATCATATATTATCAATGATTAAATGAAACATTCGCTGTTATAAAAATATTTTTGTAAATTTAATTTGGCACTACTTTACACGATGGATTTTTATGTCAACGCAATTTTTTTCAAAAAGTCTACGCTTTTTAGCGGAATTACTTATTTATCTGTCCGGAAAAGTTCGTCTGGATCTTATAGAAACTTTTTTGATGGTAAGCGAAGAAAATTTTCCTTTCCAACTTTTAAAAGTTCTTCGTCAACACAAATCCAACATTAATTTGATTTATTTTTCCGTTTCTCCTTTTTTTTACGTTGCCATTCTCACCGCGTTTAGCATGTACTTTAAATTTACGATAAGAATTAATTATCGTTTCATTAGGTAGGTAATGAGTCGCGGCTCCGCTACTAGAAATTTAATTTCCACAAATATTAACTTCCCTATTCACTAGTAACAGTTTATGCTTATATGTGAATACCAAAAGAGAAATATATCATTGTCTTCACGACACGATTTCAGTGTGGTTTGGAAGATTTTACATGTTATCGAAACGCATTGCTTTAATATGCAATCCAAACTCATTAGTTTATTGCAGAAACATGAAGGTTGGTTAAACAAAGGGGTGATGGTAATTTTAATATACTCGATCAACATGAATTCAAATCTCAATGCCAATATCACTGAGACTTTTAATTACTTCTTTACCTTCTGAATTATTTACCCAGGTAGATGTGGATGAGCGGCCATATTTTCACAATTGAAAATTTGAACTCTGCCAATGGAGTGGTGTTCCGTTGTGGACTATGCCTTTATAATATAACTTCTGTACAAAGTAGAAGTTTTCTCCACCGTGAAACATATTATTCATTATCTTTTCACTTCTTTTATGCATGTATCCTTATGTTTTACTATTTTCAGATGTTTTTTGCAGAAAAATGAACAAGTATTTTACACTAATGCCCAGTTTCCGAAAGGCCAATCAAAGCAGCAATCACATAACACTATGTCAAAAATGATCAGCTGTTAATCTCTTGTTAAACTGCCTTGGGTTTCTGGAAGGTTTGTTCAAGAAAAATTAGCTAATCACTGTATAACCAATGATAATGAATGAAATGAATGATTTACTTCAACTAACTCTTTCTATTGTATAGCTGTCCCTTTTTAAACAAAACTTAAATTAATGTCACTATCCAGTCCTGTCACCGTGTGATTGCCAACGTAAAAATCCGAGCTATAATAAAATTTAATTTATATAAATACACGCAAAATGTCAAGAGAAAACTTTACAGAACTTGAAAAAAATGAACTTTTATCCATAATAAACAAGTAAGTATTATAAAAAGAAAGAATCCATATTATTTATTAACTTTTGAATTGCATTTTCTATTTTTTCTAATCGCATGATATGTTCCCAAATAATAAATAATAAATAGGTAATAGAACACATGAATTTCCTTACAACGTATTAGGGAATTATGTTTATTTTTAATAAAAACTAAGATTTTCGATAAAATACATTTTTAACCAACGATTGATCGTCCAAATTGACAGATTACTTAATAAAACTTTTGACAGCTCGTTGACCACCGAAAAACGCTTTCAGAAACTCGATTTTATGTTGATTGTCCGTTAATCAGTGACTAATTGCAAATCAAACTCAATGTTGTTTTCAGACGTTCTAGCAACTCTGACCATGTTAAACAACATAAATTAAAATTGATTGCGCTTTCGGAAACTGGGTGTTACTGTTTTACTTGGTGTTCATTTAATTGGAGCTGACACCAAAATTAAAACCGGTTTGCTAGATTTTTTAATTCAAATTGAATGTACGGAAGCCGTGGCGCCGCTTCTCAATAATTAATTGAAACTTACTCTTAATTATTCACTAGCCTTACGCTCGAGTACATTAAATTAAAAGTGAAAGCACAGACACTGAGCTTATGGCAGCCTACAATTTTTTTCAATAAAAAAACAAATATGGTCAAGTCCAACTGTTGTATTATTGCGTTGTTATCCCATGGATCCATGTAAATAATTGAGTTTTTGGGCGATGACTGTTCGCAAGTCCAATTAACAAAGTTGGTCCCTCGAAACTTTCAATCTTTGAAGTGGTTTTCAGTGTTAGCGAGTTCAGTGTAGATAAGAGTGGGACCCTTACAAGCACGCGCCATCTCTGGTATTAGTTTAAATTGTATGCTTTCGTAGTCACAATTACAGACAAGAAGTGAAACAAAAGATGCGGCAGTCATTTGCATAACGTAATTGCGGTTACTCACCACATGCACACACACACACACACACACAACAACAACAACGTCGAAGATCTCAACGTATAACGCCATATTTCTTCATATTTTAATTTTTGACATTAAGCGCAGAAATTATCACCATAAAAATTTGACCATCATATTATAACAATGATGAGATTCTCTAGTCATTCGAATCATCGTTGTAAATGTAAGATGCGCCAAGCATTGCTTAAAATGCGAAAAAATAATGTAGATAAAAGACGTCGAGATTTCGTTTTTATTGTTACGATCAGCTGTTTCGCTTAGTGATTAAAGTGTCTAGGCACGAATCCTGAAGACGTTTGTTAGATTCCAACAGCGGCGAAAAACATTTCACCATTTTTTCTACAAATTTTAATGTTTCATGTTAAGTGCAGAGATTAGGACTATATAGAAAGAATAGGAATATTAGAAATTTTAATTCTATGCTACCTTAACATAAGCATGATAGCCTAGCCTAGCATAGCCGTGATAGCCCATCGTCCGGGCGCTCGTTTTTTATTCAATATGCTCGAGCAAACTGAGTCCAATGCCCGATGCCGGCACATATGAAACTGTATTGTATAAAAGTGCATATTTTTGAAATAACAATAGAAGTAGGGCAGCGTGGTGGACTATGCCCTAATACTATATGTGCAGAGCCTTTTCCCGGCATTATGATTTATATAGGATGTTACTATACTAACTTTTTACTGCATGTGCAACTATGTGCAAGTATAGACATGAAAGGATACATCAACGAGCCTATATAAATTACTTAGAACTTAAATCACTAGGAATTCGGTTAAATATTAAACTGTTTGTTTCAATTAATATAAATAATAACGAAACAACTATCTGTGGGTCACACCAATAGTAATTCTATTAATTTCTTTAAAATTTTATTAATAAGAATTATTTCCTTGAAATGAAATTTACTAATAGCTGCAGTTATTATTAATACTTACCGGTATTTATTGATCAGTCGACTATTTCCTTGAAAATTACAGTATCATAATTTAACCTTCTTAACTCTTTTCCACCAGACGCAGAGTTTAGTTTTAAGCCATTGACTAATTAATGAATAGGTCTTAATAAATTCATCCATAAGTTACTTTATTACTACAACGTGTAGTAGACAATAATCGTAGAAAACCATTAATGCTTTTCTTTTAAATAATTTACGTGGGCGTCTTCAAGGCAAGAGTGAATAGGTTTTTACTCAGCTAGCGCGCTTATCGTCAGGTGGGATGGCAGTCAAATGCTGGCCAGTTTTTGGATAGAAAAAAATTTAATAGAAAAATTATAAGGAACCCGTACTATTCCAACGTACAATGTCTTTCCGAATGATGTTTAGAGTCCACACGATTGCTACTGTCGGGAGTTGTATCTATGCTTGTAGAACGGGACACTAGCGCGGGCGGAGGCCGCTATTCCTCTCCAGGTCTCCATGTTGAGTTGCCCGATGTATGCTGGCGGTACACGGAAATCGTACCTATTGAACTCAGGCAGCTCAAGGGTGTAAGAGAACGGTACTCCGGCGAACTGGAAATTTAAAACCGACCCTATCATTTCAATAAAATATGTACGTCGACAATTTCAAAGTCAAATGCAAAGTCTAAATCTAAACTGCATATCAAACAGAACCACATCTGATTGATATAGGATGAATGTTTTGTAAAATATAGTAGGTCGGAATATTTGTATCTTCTACAGATTGTTCCAGGTCTATTAGGGTTCGTACTTGCCGTTACAAGTATCTGATATATTGTACCTTTTTTTTGAATGCGTAATGATATCACAAAAATATTTTCAGAAGAATAACACATCCGTTTTTATTACAAGAAGGTAAAATTGTAAATACTCGAAGCAGAACTTTACATTGCAACGTACGATAGCAAATAAGTTTTATAAGGTAGCATTTTTAAATATTTAGATGTGGAATCGGCGAGATTGTTTCTGCAATATATTGATGAATAGGCTTCTTCTCCTTTCTCCAGCCCTTACTCCATACTAGGTGGAGTCGGCAAATTATGTCCTTTCCCTCCACTTTCCTCTATCAGCTATCAACTCAATACTCAACCCTTTCACAGACATAACATCCTTCACACTGTCCATCCAAATCTTTCTCGGTCTTCCTTTAGCTTTCACCCTCAAACCACATTCATATTCATCACTCGTCTCATGAATACTTGCATGATCTACATTTAAGAGGAATGCACACACCGACCTGTACGTAATCCTGTGCACTTCCAGACACCGCGTACAGAATAAAGGCCCCGTTGCCGACCACATAGTGAGGGGAGACTGATAACTTCACGGTGTCGATAGCAGCCCCCATTACGGACCCAACGTAGTGCAAGTCCACTGCGTTCGGCGGGAAGGTCAGATCGTCGTAACCAAAGAGGATCATGTTCCCGTAGCTATGAATGTTCAGATACAGCTGTATTCGATCCAAATGCTCATAGACAATGTCTCTGATGTATTGCGCTTCCACTTCGGAAAATGGCTCTGGACCCGGGTACACGTTTGAACAGGGGTTGCTGGAGACTCCAATTGTATTAAAGGATATGTTGAAGTTACGATTGGCGTCAACTCCGTAGCAGACTGTGCTGATTTCCGGTCTGAAGGAACGTGTTCTTCTCCACAAACGCTCCTGAAAGAAATTAAGGTATAGTTTTTGACACTACTTATATTTTATACTCTATTACAGTGAAATTTAAATGTCACTCCTGCTAATACAGTGCACAGAACAAATGGCATGAACAAAAACAAGTAAATATATTTAGAATATTATTAACAAACACGTGTTCTTTCTAATCCTTATTTATTTATTTTTATCTGAGAAGGTGGCGAGCTGGCGGTTCACTTGATGTTAAGCGATTACCACCGCTCATTGAAATTTGCAACACCCGTAGGGTTGCAAATGCGTTGTCTCCTTATAACAAAGTAGGTCGCTGCTACCTCTTTCACCAAAAGAAAAGCAGAAGTATAACACTTCACACTGGTAGTCTGTAATGTTGTGATAGTAACCCGGATGGACGAGCCCATTCGTGTAACAGTGAAGACTGTTGCGTGGGCCTAACACAGTTCTGTACCGAGCTAACCTGTACCAAATATAACTAGCTTATTTTGCGCCATTCTTTACGTTAATCAATCTTTTCACTTTATTAATTTCCTTGGATCATACTAAACATACATATTAGGATAAAACATTGAAACAAAATAATTACAAAATTTTAATAACATTTACAAGATCTTACATCGGTGTGGCTGAACTCGTAGCCATCTGGGTTGACGATGGGTAGAATGATCCAATCGACTTGTTCCAGGAGGTCACGGTCTTCCTGAATTAGTCCTTCGACTAGGCGGTGAATTGAGTAGAGGGTCACTGGTACCGTCACCCATTCACGCGAATGCATGGCGCCGTCCATGAAGTATATCGGTTTACTGGCATCCGTAAAGTTCGTCGTTGAGATCTGTTGTGTGTTTTTGTATTTCCTGATTATTACATTATATAATTATTATGAGCAGATGTTGATCAATTTAGACTTACGGTTTTTTATCCGAAACCACAATCTCATTTTTAAATATTTGTATAACACTTTCTTGTTTTTTTTATTTTATATCACCTGTCCAACTTATCACCTGTTTTCACCAAAATTGTATCCTCATAATAGCTAAGTTTTGCATTCGACTATCGTTAAGAGAGCACTAAACTTCTTAGAATTTAAAATTTTTTTATAGTGCTAATCTCTGCACTTAAGCTTAAAAATTAAAATTTGTAGAAAAGGTACAAGAAAGGATATAACAATGGATGCGTCAAGTATTACTCCAAATGCTAAAAAAAAATGAGATAAAACACGTTAAGATTTTCGTCGGTGTGGCAATCAGCCGTTTAGCTTAGTGGCTAAAGCGTCAGGCCGCGAATGCCGAAGACGTGTTTTCTATTCCTACAGCGGCGACAATCTTTTCGTACCTTTTCTACAAATGTTATCTAAACTTCTTTTTAAAAAAATATCAACAAAATTTAACATGCATAGTCTCACCTTTAGGTATTTAATATCACGTCCCTCAAAACTAGGTCCAGCGTTCACAAGGGTAACGATGTTTGGATACTCCACTGCCAGCCTCTCCATGTACTCATTTACCTGATAATGACTCAACGTATATATTAGTGTAAACTATATCTGGTATTCAAAAATTACTAACAGAAGTTGTGACACTTTTTTCTCAAGCCCCGTAAGCTTAAGCATCGACTGGCTTTGATTGGTGGTTGATTTTATCCGTGGTGATCTAGCGAGTCACAATAAAGTTTAGGTGAGGGATATCAACTTAAAAATCCGCTTTGGGTTTGTACTTTCTACGGGGAGATGACGTCACGGTAGCCCTTTGTTTTTGCCTTCGTCTTTGCTTACTTTAGTGTTTGGGTACATTTTACTACTGTTTGTTTGTTATCAAGTGTAGGTTTTTAATTCAATTATATTGTACATTTTATCGAGTTATCTGACGTTTGGACAACGGGAAATGCTTTGTTATTTTGGATTGGTACACCGAGGTGGCGACACCACAGGAAAGTAAAAAGCGTGTAAGAAAGCGATAAGTGGCATCCTAAGCCACATCCTTAGGCATTTTGCTTCGATAAGCCTTTTTTCCTTTAGATTATACATAAAAAAACGGCATCATTGGTAAATTCAATATATTTTTAGAACTTGGTAGTATTATGTCCTTTACTCGTGTCCTTACAATGTGTATGTGAACTATGTAAGGGCACTAGTGTGTGTGAGGAACCTGAGTAAAATTGAAGCCAAATCTATTATACACAGTAATTGTTATATTTGCTGGGAACCTTCAAATTATCATTTTACGGTGGTAGGGCCATGCACCAGGCTCAGCTGTTGCAGGAATGGGCAAGCTGGTCCGGGTAAGTACTACGACCTCACAGAAGACCGGCGTAAAGTGGAAGTATAATACTTTCGCGTTTCGTCTGGTGAGTGAGGTGGCCGGAGCCCAATTTTCAAAAGGTTGTCAACGCATCTGGAACCCTCAGATGTAGCATATGTCCATGGGCGGTATTCACTTAACATCAGGTGAACCGTCTGCTCGTATGGCAACTTTTCACATTCTTCTCTCTTTTCACATTCTTAAATCTGCATGTACCATTAAGGTACATAAAATTACCTCTGCATATCTAGGATAGTCTTCGAAAGAAACTGTTTTCTCGTTTCTTCTGTTTCGCCATTTGGAAATCTCTTCATCGTGATCTTCAAGTGCTCTGAAAATAAAGGATAACATTCAATTCTTAGACTTAATTATAAAATAAACGTTGCTTTCGACCGAAATAAAATGTATCGTAAATATAACATATTTTTTATCCGTTAATCCGATACATGAGGACGGTTCTAAGAAACTCCCATGATGATAAACATGAAATTTAATTTATTTATGACTCATTTGTATCGCTGTGTTTGGGCCACGCAGCAGCCTCGGCTGTTGCACGAACAAGCTCGTCCGGGTAAGTACCACGACCTCACAGAAGACCGGCGTAAAGTGGAAGTATAACAAATACTTTCGCGTTTCTTCTTGAGTGAGGTAGCCGAAGCCCAATCTTAAAAATGTTGTCAACGCATCTGCAACCCTTGGGTGTAGCAGATGTCCATGGGCTGAGGTATTCATTTATGGTTCGCTTGGCAAATTTTCACATAAAACAAAAAAAAAACATCATCTATTTTTGTATTGATAAAACGTTAACCATTACCATTAATCTTTCCGAAACAGATTGAACTAGTTTCGAGAGTTGACCTAGAAACTTTCGCAATTTTTTTTTATTAATGCTATTTTAGTAATGCCATGTAGTTAAGAAAATACTCACCTAACGACATCTGCTAAATGAACATAATGGTCAATGCCATTATCGTCCAAACTGCTGAGGAATTTAGTCTTATTTTCCTGTGATACCATTATAATCGCGTCTCGTTGGTTGAAAAAACCGTAGGACCAAACATCTAAATCTAGATTTGATACCAGTTCTTTCAAGATTTTCAAATCAGACTGATCGCGAATCTTCACACCATGAACTGTGAAACTAAAAGTATGTAGAATATATGTTATGAACGTATTTCAGAGAACCATACAATAATCACAATATTATATATTTGTAGTATTTACGTGAATACTACACGATATTGAATAAAGCTGTTTTACGCATTTTATTTATATTTAATGTTGGTTTCAATTCCCGAAGTTTCTTAATTTTTGTGCAGGTGCAAGCTAGTCTTTAGTCAGTTTTCGGAGAATGTCGGCAAGATTTGATACCAAAATTGTACCCGATAAAGTCCAGAAGATAATTTTATTAAGCAACAAATAAAAAAAAAATTTAAACTAAATGTAACTGTCTATGGACGGTATATTAAATATTTTTTTTTTTTTTTTTTTTATGCCAAAAGTTGTCAAACGAGCAGACGGTTCACCTGATGTTAAGTGAATACCGCCGCCCATGGACATCTGCCACACCCGAGGGTTACAGATGCGTTGACAACCTCAGCATTAACAAATTTAGCAGGTTACGGATGTGAAATCCACTGCTTATTGGATATTTACGAACTTTACGATATTCAAGAGTTTGCTTTATTCAACAATTTGGTGGAACATTAACAATAATTTTTCAAAAAAATTCGGTGGAAATCTACCGTTATTTATGATGGAAAACTCAATTGCTACATTACTATACAACTATATAATATTATTTTTTTCATGAGTACTGTTACTTCCCTTTTTCTTACAAAATTATGAATGATCAATATTTTAAGATAGATTTGCGAAGATATTAACGCCTTCACAAAATATGTTATGCACATAATATTTGATAACGGTCGATAAACTGAATGTTAGGGATTAGAATGAGCTTCGCTGAGGACGTTCATTAAGACTTTTAGTAGGTCGTAACTCCGATAAGAGAGACGATAACAAAAATATAGGACATAGGGAAATAGCCCTCATTACATTACTTATACACTACTATATCCTAAGGCTGAAGAAATAAAGTACCCTTGCATTAACATGAGATCGTTTAAACTAATAGAAGTGATACAGCTCCCTGTTGTGTCGTTATTTTTTTAATTTCATCCAACCTATACTAGGTTACCGGTAGTAATTAAGAGTGCCCAACAGAATATAGTGGAGGTTGTTACATGTGTTATTGCATTGTGTTACTGTTTTTACTTAATCGGCTAGAGTAAAATAAATAAAAAAATAAAGTATGAATAAAATATTCACCCCTTGTACACATCGTTCTTTCCGGCTGAAGTTAATTCGAAAATCAGAGCGACGACAACGAAAACCAGTTTCGTGACCATCATGTTCGCAATCTGAACAGCATAAGCACTCTGAGTGTACACAAGTTATCGTATCATTGACTAAATTTTAGATAACAAACGTCACTTTTATCATAGTTATCGGTTCGGAAACGAATTCTAATCGAACTGTGGCTAGTGAAACTGATTATAATGTATGTAGTTTCATAAACAGACGTATCGATTATATTTATAAAAAATAATCTCGTTAAGTACTTAGGTGGACGGAGAACGCGAGTCAAATACGAGCGCTGCATTAAGCCACGTTAGTACATAATATGAGAAATGTTACACACTCAAAATTAGTTTCTGCGTGTTCAAAATGCCTTTGAAACCAATAATAGATCAGTTATTATAATTATTACTTTTTAAATTCCCATTCATATCCAGACGGCCATACAATAGTAAAAGGACACATCACCAAAGAATAAAAGCACAAGAGTTAAACATGACAGAGTATTTATTGAATGTAAACCTTGATATCGTTTCAATTACTATCGGCGTGCTTGATAGTAGAGGAGTGAAAGCCTTGCGGTGGCTGCAATGCCGCGCCAAGTCTCCTCGTTAATGTGCGGAATGTACCGCGGTGGCACCAGGAAGGCGAACCCATAGCCTGGCAGCTCGAGGGTGTATGAAAAGGGGACGCCCACGTGCTGCAATTAAATCAATAGGTCTCTTTAGCGACGAATAAACGGCAGACAAAATGTTTCTTTAAGTCAGAATCCACAAACTCAAAGCCGTGATAGCTCATTGTGCGGGGCGCTCGATTTTAATTGAATTTACTCGAGAAAACGGTTTGCAATTTTAAGTGCTGACTTATCGCCCGCTCAGTGGTGAAGGAAAACCTCGTGGCGAAAGCTTCGTGTTTTCTAAATAATGACAAAAAATTTTTTTTTCAAAGATAATTATGTGAAGTTGCCATTAGTCCGGCAATGGATAATTATATAGGCCGTTAATTTACTTTAGTTTACCAAGGACTAAGCGCTAGTGGCGTGCAATCACGTTTCGCTTAGATATCTGATAATAAATCTGGGCGCTTTACCCGGAAGCAATAGGTTCAGCTTTTAGATAGTTTTGTCCATGAAATGTACCAAAAATGAATTGGCGCAGGTTATACCAAAAAACAGTCACCATTAAACTAACACTACACCTACTTGTCCGTAGTCCTGAGCACTGCCGGACGACCCGTAGAGCACGAGAGCGCTGTTTCCGACCAAATAGTAATTGGCTTCCGGCAGCTTCGTTGTGTCCATTACGGCGCCCATGACGGCGCCGACTTGGTGCAGATCGACCGCGTTGGGCGGCAGGCTGGTGTCCCCGTATCCGTAGAGCACGTAGTTTCCGTGGCTGTGAATGTCCATGTAGATCTGGATGCGGCCTGAGAACTCCCGCAGCACGGCGTCCACGTAGCGCGATTCCGGTTCGGAGAAGGGCACCGGACCCGGATACACGTCGGAGCAGGGGTCGGCCGACACGCCGATGGTGTTGTGCGACACGTTGAAGTTCCGGTTGGCGTCTACGCCGTAGCAGGTGGTGCTCACCGACGGGTTGAAGGAGCGCGTGCGTCTCCACAGGCGTACCTGCGTACAACTCCAATTTCAACACGTTCTCTGTCTAAAGAACATTAGAGCCCTCTAAGAACTCTCCTACGTGTCTAAAGTAAACGGCTGATGTCTCGATGATTATGAACGTTATCCTTTTTGGAATTTATTTTCGAGGTTGATATCGAATTCGAAAGCACCTTCGTGTGGTGGAAACTGGCACAGCGTACTGGATAGTTCGTTGATTTTTGAATATAAATACCGTCAACCACATCAATAGTTTGAGTATGCATCAATAGTTTCACCAGCATTCTAAAATGGTTCACAATGTTACACTAGCCTAATGCAGTAAAAAAATCGCCTAGAAGTAACATTTACTATAAGCCAATTGTTCAAATTTTCACTTAATAATTCAATTTAATTTAAATTACGACACCTGCCCACATACAAATCTAAGCTCTTACTAGGGATTGGTTTATGTGATGTAAGCGTCTAATTACACCTGCTTTTGCATTATTACCATCCTGAATAACATAACCAACTAGGATAGAGACGCCTTAGTATGTTAATTTAGTAGCTGTAATTTGGTATTAATGTGCTTTAAAGGATTAGTTAAACTGTTACAGTACATAAAAAAATTATTAATATCATATGAAGCATTAACTATTATCAAAGGTGTTGTACAAAATTCTTGACTGCCATGTATTGCCTCTAAAGTGAAATGTGAATAACAGTGACAATCAAATAAATAATCAATAGTGGAATAATCAATAGTGGCAAAATAAAAATAACATCTAACATTGACGTATCAATAGACAGCCAGCGGTGGTAATCATTTAATATCAGGTGAACCGTCCATTCCCTTGCTAATAAAAAGTCGTTGCTCATAATGCTTGAGCCTTTACGGTGCTTACGTCTGTATGCGAGTACTCGTATCCGTCGGGGTTCACCAGCGGCATTATGACCCAGTCGATGTTCCGCAGGAGGTCCGAATCTTCGGATCTGAGGTCCTCGACCAGCCTGTGGATGGAGTAGAGGGCCACCGGCGTCGTGACCCATTCTCGGGCGTGCAACATCGCGTTCATGAAGTAAACCGGCTTCGATGCGTCCGTGAAGTTTGATGTTGAGATCTACAATTATTGATACAGAGCATATAGGGATGACTCGGGGGAGCCGGTGCTAAGCTATTCGGCGTCGGGGGTCATGGGTTCGATTCCCAAATATTTGTGTGACCCACATGATTGTTCCGGATCTGGGTGGTTGTTCCCCAAGGTGGATTGACGTCAGGCGGTCGGTCGTAGAATGAAACTGAAACCGCTTACAACACGATTCACATGTTTTGCCGGTCCCACAGGGTGGGATAAGGGAAGGAGGATGATGGTTGATGATGATACAGAACATATATTTGTGTCAGTAGACTTCTTCTTCTTCTTCTTCAGCGTGTGTTCGCCCACCGTTGGGCATACGCCTCTCTAATTTTTACCATTCAGCACAACTCTTTGTTTCTGTTATCTTTTCCAAACTGCTATACAGAAAATCTTTTGAAATTCCTCAATGGAAAAAAAGCTTTCTCAAGTCTGTGCCACGTGTACACGTATTACAGCTTACATTTAAAGAAACACTGTGAAGCGTAGATAATATTACCTTTATCTCTCTACCCTTTGAGGGTGAAAGACTTGATTTTAAACACAATTGAAATAAGCACTTGTGTATTGCTAATCTACTTGCAGCTTTTGGTAAAACATATTATTTAAAAGGGCAAATACTGGTAAAAAATATACTACTTCAAAGTTCCTGTTTCAAAGCCGTTATACTATACGAAAGTTGGTCAGATATTTGATAATTTAATAACATGGCCTTAAATGTTTAATCAATATTACGATATATATTATACCATTATTTTAAAATTCTGCGTAAATTGATATAAATATAGTCACAGTTAAACATATTCTAACCGATACATACTTTATTTGGAATAAGTAATTTTTATAAGTTGGAAATAGAGGAACTCATATTGATGATGGAACTATAAGTTTTCTATGAGGCTCCTTGATTGACGCCAAACTTTTCACCAAACTTACGAAACTCTTATTTGACTTTACTAATAATTTATGTGTTTTATGTATATATTTTTGTCAGCGATGATTGTTATTTTTACCTTTAAATATTTGACTGCGCGTCCTTCAAAACTTGGTCCTGAATTTACCAGGGTAACGATATCTGGATACTGGGACGCTATTCGCTCTAAATAAGCATTAACCTGAAAAGTATTAATATCATGGGTATTAAAAAAATTTAAAACTTTGTAAAAAATAATTAATTTTTTTTCTTTCCTGCGAGGATTTGAACCGTGACCTCCAGGAGACGCGCCCGACTTTCTGAACTCATTCACACCAATGAAAATTTCAACGTATTTTATTTAATGTAATAAAAAGCATTTTTAAGCATTGTTAGGCGTCATGTGGTGTGTTTCGTTTGCTGCAAGTTGAAATAAGAATGATTTTCTTAATGATCATAATGATCAATTCAAAGAGTTAAACAATCCTTTTGGCAACTCAAATAACATTTGAAAAGCCAATTGACAGCTGATTAGTTAACTTCTACGATGATCAGTGTTTCAGTAACCGGGCGTTACGTTTTCTTCTGAAGACAGTGGGCGAGTTTCGTATTTATATAACTCTGTTGGCTTATGACTCGTCTTCACCTTTGGCAATGTCGTTGTCACCTTAGGAAATCGATTTCCACTGGGGACAAGCATTTGCGTGACCCACAGAAAAAAATTCCGACGTCAGGCAGGTGGCCGGTGGTAAAAAGCAAAGACATTTTCAATACAAATCACATGTTGTGTCGTTCCCACCTATTTAGAATACGGGCAGGGATGATGATGAAAACTTTTTTTAATAAAGATTCCCTTTTTTCCTATTGAATCACTCTATCTAGTAAAAAACGCACCAAGATTCGTTGCGTAGTTTTAAAGCTCTAAGCATACATAGGGACAGACAGACAGCGGACGACTTTGTTTTATATTACGTACTCATACGTTGTACAAACCTCGGCGTACCGGGGGTAGTCTTCAAACGGTACGATTCTTTGCCGTCTGCTCCTTTGCCACTCTGCTACTTCCACGTCATGCTCGTCTAAGGTTCTGTAAATCAGATTTATCAAATTATCAACAGTCAATTTAACTGCTATCGAATGTTCTACATTTTCATGTCTCTCTGTTTATTTGTATACTGTTTAATTTATCCTAATTTCACGGAGATATAATGCGTGAGCCGTGATAGCTGTGTCCGGGCGCTCGCCTTTAATTAAATTTTCTCGAGCAAACTATGGGGTCGCATGGTGGACTATGTTCTGATATCTTCTTCTGTTCAGAGGAAGAGATGTCGCAACAGTGGGGCATTTATAGGCTGTTAATTTTACTTTACTTTTAAGGTGTGGGATTTCATGGTAGAATGTGGTGTGCGTTAGAACGTAAAATAATCTTAAATTAGTTTGTTGAGATTCTATACCACCTACGACTTATCATTAAAGTGCGTAGTTCTCTATTTAAAATATTACCTTGCAACGTCATCAATGTGAAGATAATGTGACAGCCCGTTTATTTCCAATTCGTGCAGGAACTGAAGTCGATTTTGCGGAGAGACCATGGCAAGAGCGTCGCGAGCCCCTGGCGTGCCTTGTGTCCAAAGGTCGATGTCCAAAGAGAGCATCAATTCGTTCAGGATTTCTTGGTCAGCTCGGTTCATGACCTTGACACCGTATACTGTGTATCTGAAATTTCGAACAAATAATTACGATGCGACTGCTTAGCTTATTGGCTCGAGCGTAGGTTCGAATTCTGACAACGGTGAAAGATTTTGCGACAGTTTTAAGTTTTAATCTAGACCTCTTTATTGTCATCTTAATACTGAGACTAGCACTTAAAATTTAAAATTAAATTTTAATAGCAAAGACGTCATCTTTAGGTGTAAAAGGTTCATTGAAAAAATGTAATTTGAGAAAGTAATCACACTTTGCTTCACAGAAATCACATTAGAAGATGTCAAGCATTTGTAGCAAACAAATGCAATAAAAACAAAGTAAATAATAATATGTGTTCACTATTATTTGGAATATAGTGTATTAAATGTAAAATTAGTATGCATTTATCAACCTTTGCTAAATATTCTATCTTAGAGCCATGAATAATCTGTAGGGTCAAAAATAACGCGATACGAATGACTGAACGTAAAGGTTGCGTTAATTTAACGTTTTTGTTCCTTATTATAGGTTAAATTAGTCAGACAATAAAATAAGCAGGGGTACGAAAAAGTCGAGTCGACCTTAAGGGAAAACAGTAAAAATTAACACAGTAAAAGGACTTAAATATCTAAATAAGTGTTGTTAGGTGTAATAAAATAACGGTGCTTCTATTAGCCGGGCGCAAACGTTAAATTTTACTCTTCCATGCGTTGTTGCCCCTGAGGATCTCCCACTTGAGTTTCTGGCAGCGTATTTTCATATTCACTCTAGGGATAGGGACCGACCACAGAACCACATAGAATTGGGGGGCTTTGTGACGGATCCGTGACTCGCGTTGAATCTAATCACACTTTTTTCTGTGGTATGGACACGCAGCAGTCTTCGCTGTTGCAATAATGAGCAGGTCCTTCTGGGGAAGTACCGCGACCTGACAGAAGACCATCGTGAAGCGGAAGTGTTACACTTCTGTGTTTCGTCTGGTGAACTAGGTAGCCAGCGCCCATGCGTTGCCACCTTTATCAAAAGGTGGCAACGCATCTGCAGCCCTACGGGTATTGTAAATGTCAATGGGTGGCGATTATCACTTAACATCACGTAACGCCCGCTCTATTGCCACCTTCTTACATAAAAATACGTAATCCAGTATAACAATCCTTTATTTCCAGACCATTATTGCCTATTGCTACAGACTACCCAATAATTAAGGCCATTTAATAACAAATAATATTGGTCAATGGTGGCAGAATAGACACTTCCTAAAATATTTTACCACGTCAACAATTTGTCACATATCGAACACTGTTAAATACATGACAAAAAAGTATTTCATTAACTCAATGAAATCCATACAATAGCCTCAATAAAATAATTAACATCTGCTTAATTAAGCTGAGATAATATTTCCTCAAACATCATATTTTGGGTGGAAACAAGGCAACCAATTTGTCCAGTTAAAAAACTAAAAATAACATAAAATTCTTATTTTATTTAATGAATAGTTGTTTTTTTTTTCTTTTGTACCATCTTTAATAATTACTTTAAATCCTTTTGACGTTGTTCATTCTAAATGTTATATATTAAAATTTGAAAAACAGAGAATACAAAATCAGAGATCAAGTATCAAGACATTGCTTGTTATGGAAAATCAGAATCAAGTGTTTGATTCTAATTTTGCAATTAATGTCCATAAGATAAGTCCTAATATTATAAAGGCGAAAGCTTATATGTAGGGATGGATGTTTGTTGCTGTTTCACACAAAAACTACTGAATAGATTTTAATGACACTTTACAATAATATAGCTTATACATCAGGATAACAGATATATGAAGATATTGTGTGTATCGTCTAAATATAGGTAATGATAAGTGTCGACTAAGTAGGAAATAATTCAGCCATCTGCGAGATATTCTGGTGTATAATAAAAAAAACTCATTGTGAATTCCCTTTGGCCGCGCGGGTGAAGCCGTGGAAACAGCTAGTAAATACATATAGTCTAACGCTTACCCGTTATAGACATCGTTCTTCCTGGCAACGATCACAGCAAACAAGGAGCATACGGCGGTGATAAGGAAGATATCTGCCTTCATTCTGTAAGGAGCTTGATTAAGACTGTCAAATCTTACTGCACAACACCTTTATCGAATATGAATCACACACGGCCTTCGTGACTCTTTAATCGAACAGATCTGTTCCAATATAGGGTGTTGATTGTTGCCAGTGAATTTACGATACACGGTTTACTTATCTGTCCGAAAAAATTATGTAGTCTAGATAATGTAGATTCTTAGTGACGATAACATCTAGAAGATAATGATGAAAGAAATACAGTACAGTATGTTAATTATAACAGAAAGGTACCTTGGAAGTTTTTATCATTTCGATTAAATGATAGGAAAATTAAAAATTATTAAAAATTATTCTTCTTTTGTTAAACCAGCTAATTTGTAAACGAATTTTTCGCGGTGTCAAATACGCAGAAATTGATCATTTGATTTAGTTATTAGTAACAAGAAGCTAACAATGCAAGATTGTTGAGTTTCTTTAATTGAATCCAAATGCATGTTTTATTGAAGTCTCGTATTTTAAGCAATTTATGTCAAACATAAGTTTTTTTTTTCAAATTAATTCGATAATCGTTTGAATTAGTTGCACGAATGGGCATAACGAACGGGCAGAAGACCAGCTTGAAGTGAAAGTATAATACTTTAGCGTTTCTTCTGCTAGATAAGGTAACCGGGACCCACTGTTTTTAAGGTTGTTAACGCATCTGCAAACCCTCACATTTTTTATGTGACGGACAGCACTGAAATTTTAAGAAAAAAATTAAAATCAATTACATGAACAAAAGACATCTAATGTCAGGAAGAAAGAAAATAAATTAATTGACCAGAAAAAGGAAAAACCTTGGAAAAACTCTTGTTAACTTAGACAAATAAACAATATTAAAGTAGTTGGACTAATCAACGTGGAGTGTTCTAAATCATTTTAATAAACATTAATTGTTAGCAGTGTTCAAACTATTTACCACCGTTACCCGATACTACTGTTTTTACTATATCCTTTTACTAGGTTGCCTGGAAGAAATCGCTGTTTGGCGATAAGGCCGCCTATTGGACAGTTTAGTATTATTTTTTTTGTATTTTTTTGTACAATAAAGTATATTTCATTCATTCATTCAATCATTCATTCACTTCAGTGGAACATCGTGGCGGTTTTAGTCAGTGCGGGACCGACATAACCCGTCCTTGTCCCCGCGTCGGCGGGTAGGCGTAGGCATTTCCCCCAAGTGAACAAAAAAATGTTAAATAGAAATAATTACATCCGTGTCTCATTGAACTTGTTAAGTTCCAAATTGTAAAAGCTCTATTGATACTATACTCTCTTAAATGCTAGTAAACTTGACATAAATCAATAAAACCAAAAGTAATTTCGATCGGGAAGAATTTCACCAATCAGGAGTAAGTAAGAAGAGTTTCAACTAAATAAGACCGTTTTGTTGAATATTATTGTTATTAACATAACAGAAGAGGACGTGTTAAGCCATTCAACAGCGTTGATAACTTAGTAATATGCGAAATACTTATGGTCAACACGAATTATACCTGAAATTTATAAATAAAAGTAACATTGTAATAACAGTATTTATTTCAATAGTATAACATTAGTTTATTAACGTTCTTCATTTCTCTATTCTCTATTTTGGCCCCTAGTACGATTTTGATAATAAAGCGTTGATGCGCGCGCCGACGCCACAATCCCTTGCCATGTTTCCTCCACGATTTGCTCAATGTATTGCGGCGGAACTTCAAAACGATATCCATAACCTGGCAGTTCCAGAGTGTAAGAGAAAGGGACTCCCACGAACTAGATGAAAAAAAGTTTTTCGTTACATCTTTAATGCTATCACAGTAATAGATGTCTTGATCGCTATAGATCATAAATAACAGGCCCTAGCACTCACGATTGAAAGACAGATTTTTCTATCTTTCAAACGAGCAAACGTGACCATCGACATTATCAGTGAAAATTAATTAACCGCCGAAAGGTCAGTCATAAAACTAGAGGTGTTGCTAAGTTAAGAAGGAACTTCATATACCACCGGATTGATATGATAAAATTTATTTCCAGTTCACGATCAAGAGTTACACCGAAGAACAAGTTATGGCATTCTACTGCCTCCTTCAGTCGGGTAAACCATTGTACAAGACATTATCGGAAAGAAAACATACATCATTGAACTGCTTATAACATCGTTGTTTCTTAAAATTTTACTAACTTTAAATTCAATTAAGATATCACAGACATCTTTTCATATATTATATTGTACAATACTTTGCACATAAATAACATACTTTATAAACGCCTTAATAAATATTGTATAATTTTGTCTATGAAAACACCGGCACACTGACAACTGAGGAACGGAAGAAACGACACGACCGGTCAATTGCTCTGACGAGTCTAATTAAATAATTGTAATTTTCTATTACATTAAAAATTTCTTATGTTAGCGTTCCACTAGTTTTATTTGGACCCTAACATATATGAAAATATGAAAAGATGTCACTAGACCTATATAGGTCAAGTGCCTAATGAAGACAAGGTTAATTAATTGAAATCTATCCAGTAAGTTTCCAATAATGCGCGTTCAACGGCGACACTCCATCATTTTGTTAATATAAAATATGATGAGAAAAATTTACCTGCGCATAGTCTTGGGCTGAACCGGAAGTGCCATACAGGACCAGGGCACTATTACCCACCAAGTAGTACAGCGCCTGTGGCAGTTTGTGTACGTCTATTGCGGCACCCATTATGGCGCCCACATGGTGTAAATGGACTGCGTTGGGCGGCAGACTGTCATCTCCATAAGCGAACAAAACGTAATTGCCCTGGCTGTGTATGTCCAAATACAGCTGTATCCGATCCAAGTGCTCGTGGAGAACGTCCCTTATATAAGTGATTTCAACTTCGGAGAATGCCTCGACACCAGGGTAGACGTTGGAGCAAGGATCGGATGAAACGCCAATGGTGTTGAAGGATACATTGAAGTTGCGGTTACCGTCTACGCCGTAGCATGTTTCACTCACTGATGGATTGTAGGAGCGGGTACGTCGCCATAAACGCTCCTAGAAAAGGTATAATAGCAAATACTAGAACTATCTCAGTAATGGCTTCCGTTTTCTTTTAGCTTCTACGTTTATTATTTGTCAATTTATCAAGAAAAAATACGCAACACCCGTAGGGTTGCAGATGCGTTGCCACTTTTAATAAACTGGGCCCCGGCTACCTCACTCACCAGACAAAACGTCGAAGTGTAGCACTTCAACTTCACGCCGGTTTTCTGTGAGGTCGTGGTACTAACCTGAACGGAACTGCCCATTCGTGCAACAGCGAGCACTGTTGCGCGGCCCTACCACAGTGATATATTTAGTGATATTCTTTAAAAAAATTCACAAACTGAGAATAAATGTACCACTTACATCCGTGTGTGTATACTCATAGCCGTCAGGATTTACTAAAGGCATGATAATCCAGTCAGTGCCTTCTAGGACATCTCTCTCGTTAGCTCTAACGTCCTCTACCAGCCTGTGAATGGAGTATAGCGCTACGGGAGTGGTGACCCACTCACGTGCGTGGATCATGGCATTCATGAAGTATATAGGCTTGGTGCTGTCTGTGAAGTTACTGGTAGAAATCTGAAATAAAAGAATGTGATATTATATAAGGTGTATTGGGCTTAAAACCGGTGTCGTGATCAGAACTAGTTACTGTATCTCGACTTTTACCGAGTCCCGTCCGTTTCACGGTCTTATGCTGCTACACAGACCGTCACTTACTGTTGTTATTTTGTTTACATTTATTTTAAGTTTCTGTGTTACATTATTATTAGTTACATTATTATTTTTAAGTTTTGTATGTATTCATTTGTTTTTAGACAGTGAATAAACGTTTCTTCTTCTTCTTCTTCTTCTATAAGGATAATTGGATGTATTCATTATTTATTAAATTATATATATAAAATATAGGATTGTAAGTTTAGGGACCATTGGGACATTCGTTATGTATTTCTTACATAAATTATATATATATATATATATATATATATATATATATATATATATATCTATACCACATAGCGTTTTTAATGCTTTTATGACGCTGCTAACTTGACTAAGCGTGGTAAGTCCACATTGTAGTCTTCACTGTTGCACGAATGGGTCGGTCCGTCCGGATAACTACCACGACCTCACGGGAGGCCGGTTTGGATTGTTATGAGAAAAACTTAAAGGCTTAAGCCAGCTAACTTCTCACCAAACTTCAATTCAAATTTACAGTTTTGAAAATAGCCATTCGCATGTTTTTAACAATATACAATTCCATTAAACATGTTATTATTATTAACCCCATAAAAAAATTAGGAGATCTTATAACATTCAGCTTATCTATAAACATATTTTTTTAATAAATAATTAAGAAATAGCATATTGAAAAAGTTCGCACCTTAATGCAGTGGAGGCCTGTTAGAGTATTTAGAGAGTGCTATGTCTTCAAAGAAATTTTCGTAACACTGCTTGTTATCGTTTATTGAAATCTCTGCGTTTATTGTAGCCTCTTTATATATTTACACGAAAGGTAGGTGAAAACGTTTATTTTTTTTATTTATTTATTTAAACTTTCTGCCCAAACATTTATGTACAAAAGCGGACTTAATGCCATCAGCATTATCTCCCAGTCAACCTTGGGATGGTCCAGAAAGGTTAAGGTAGATGCATTTATTACTAATTTACAAAAAAAAAAGAAAAAAAGCAATCATAAGATTTTTTTAAATACATATCTACATTATAGTTGTCTTAAGGAGATTACTGTGATCAAGTGACTATCTCATGAAACAATGTGTTCGTTTGCCACCATCAAACATAAAAAAACACTTTCGGTTACCTTTAAATATTTAACATCACGCCCTTCAAAGCTCTTTCCTGCATTCACCAAAGTCACAACGTCTGGATACTCAGCAGCTATTCTCTCGAGGTATGCGTTTATCTAAAATGTATTGGAAAAAATTGATGTAAATGATTTCAAGTGCTAACCAATATGTTAAGATGCTGTAGAACATAATTAATTTAAACACGTTATTTAGCTGAAATTCCACATATCAACATATCATATTTTATACTAAGGCTTATTAAACAGCAGAGTTTATTGCATGTTTTCAATTAACTTTAACTTCAATAACTTTAGTTGATATTAACTTTAGTTTTGGTAGATAATGATGTAGTCGATCCTAATAGACGTTTACTGCAACACCAATAAATTATATTAATTGTGGCTTTATACAAACCTCTACATAGCGCGGATAGTCTTGAAATGGAAAAACTCTGCTTTGTCTGTTTCTTCGCCAGAGATCCAACTCTTCGTCAACTTTATTCAATTCACTAGAAAGAAATGGCTGTTAAAAGAATGACTGTCTTAACTGAGTTCCACACTTAAAATATATTTTTACTAAAATTAAACCACAGATATGTACTGTTTTATTCTTTTTTTTTTATGTGAGAACTGGCAGTTCACCTCATTTTAAGTGAAAGCCGCCGCCCATTAAGTTTTGCAACACCCGTAGGGTTGCAGATGAGTTGCCACCTTTTGATAAAGTGGGCTCCGGCTACCTTACTCACGAGAAGAAGCGCAAATCTTTAACATATCCACTTTTTCGGTATTCTGCGAGGTCTTGGTACTTACCCGGACGGACCTGACCATTGGTGCAACAGAGATGACTGTTACGTGGCCCTACTACAGTATAGATAAATGTTATGTATAATTCAAAAAAATTGCGGAGAACACGTTTTTAATAACTGCGGTTGTTGTTTAAGTCTCAAATCTTAATTTTTGTGTTACATAATTACTTTTTTACGTTTTCAATATAAACTCTGCGAGTGATTCCTTCCAAATCTAGTTGTTTCTTGAATTCATCGTTGTTTTCTTTAGATACCATTACAATTGCTTCCCTTTGTCCTGGAAAACCTCGCCGCCAAAAGTCTAGGTCCAGTCTTATCTCCAGTTCCTGAAGCACTCGCAGATCAGATCGACTCTGCAATTGAACACCGTAGACGGAATTTCTGCAAATAACAAATAACTAATTCCCACCTACGTAAAATGCTTGTGTATGTATTGAACATGTATGTTTTATCACCTGTCATAATTTCAAATTAAGCATTCAAATGAAGCTTGAGATGGAAATTATTGGAAAGGATTTTGTTCGTTTATGGTTTATCAATGACCATGTAGCTCTCCAATCGTTTTACAATACTCAGTGTCTCAACGTACAGTACTCTTAAATATGCATGTATTGTAGTGTGACTTACTCATAATTTTTATTTCCTTAGTGTGTTTTCCAAATTTCCTGTTTTAGTAAACTAGTAAGGTAATTTCAAAGGCTTTTCAAAATTAACCCAACTCCGAGAAAAACCAAAAAATCCAATTCAACAAAGCTGATAAATTCGTCTTGAATTCAAAAGAAGACGAAATTTAACTTGAATCTAGCAAAGAACATTAACTAATATATTATGTATTGTCGGGTCGAAAGATTCAGTTGTTGTCAGCGATGAAATCCGAAAAAGATGCTAAATAACAGTTTATGAGAAAATCTGACTTATGATAATTGTTGATAAGATAGTTACGAAACGTTTTAATTCGCCACTATCTTGTTAAATTAATGTAATAACTGTTCTAGCTGAAGTTTTCGGTCAGAAAATAATTTAAAAGAAAAAATAATATTCACATCATGATAACACACAACACAACAAAATGATGAAAGATAATTTATTCGAGGAAAAAATTACGTTTAAACTAAATTAAGGCTTATTTAAACGAAATGATTATCAAATATATTCTGCAGACCAGTGCGCCGTGCAGCGCGTGTCTTAGATCGCCGACTTTTCTATACTTTTACGACCGCTAAGTATTATTTAATATTTTTACTGTATTTCTTCAGCAGAGAACGAGGCGTTGTAGTTTAGTGCCCGGAGTCATCTTCGGTTAAATAGTTGTGTTATTAGATAATTCTGGTTCAGAAACATCCTGAGCTGGATATTTTAGGTGACGATCTGTTCATATTAAAACGGAGATTGAAAGCAGCCTTGAATGCTACAACAGAGATTGGAATAGTTCTTAAATGCTTCATGACATTGTTCTCCATTATTCTATTTTAGCTACATATTAATTAGTTCTAAGTTTTTTACTATGTTTGGTCACAGATATTTATTCCTTGTCACTTTTATAGTATATACCATCAATTTTCTTGGTTTTAATTAATTATTTAACTTGCTGTCCTCACATACTTGGAATGTTTTTTTTTATGTGAAAAGTTGCCAAACGAGCAGATGGTTCACCTGATGTTAAGTAAAACCGCCGCCCATGGACATCTGCTACACCCGAGGATTTGCAGATGCGTTGACAACCTTTTTTGGAAATTGGCCTCCGGCTACCTCACTCACCAGACGAAACGCGAAAATATTATACTTCAACTTTACGCCGGTCTTCTGTGAAGTCGTAGCTCTTACCACGACATAGCCATTCGTGCAACCGTTAACTCACCCACCACTTGGAATGTCAATTTATTGTTATAATATTATATTTGTATTATAATTTAAATTACATTATTATTTAAATACGTTGCCATTCCGCTTTGTGACGCTATAAATAAATTAATTAATTAAACTTACCCAGCGTACAAGTCATTTTTTCCGGCGGTAGCAACAGTCACCACCGAAAGGAAAACTGCGACCAAATCAGAGGCCCGCATCTTAGCTTCTCCACTGAGATGATTAAGATTGATTTGAAGAGAAATAGTGCCGGCCGTTATCTGACAACGGATTACCGATACGTATCGTTTAGATTGTACTAATCGTCGATATCGATGTATATATTGTTTTATTGCATTCATATCATTATTGTTTTATTATTTCATTACGAAACTATCAGATATCCGCGACTTCTCATGCGTTTTTAATTTAACAATAATAATTATATAAACAATATATTTTTGATAAATAACAGAACATGTTTGTAACATGTTCTGTTTTAAGTGGCAAGTAACTAACTCTATTGTTAGCAATATTAAAAGAAGTCATTCCTTGAGGTTGTTGGCAACACTAAAATACGTGTCATTCTATGAGGTATAAATGAAGCTGCATTTCATGATCTTCGTCGTTCTCTGGCTGTCAACAAGAAGTATACGCGATAGTGCTGCCCAATCGGTATCACAAATTAAATCGTGAGAATAGTGTTTCATTAGTGATATTAAAGTGATAAAATAAGTAATTATACCAGTGCTATTGCTGTGCAAAGTCAAACTAAGGTGGTTTGATAAAAGTATTTATATTTCTACCTTCTTAGCTCGATGAAACGAAGTATAGCTAACACTATATCGCTACAAGGATCTTTTTCAGTAGTATTACTTTACTCTATCTGATCTTTTGCCACTGCGAAACGAAACACTCGTAATTGCTCGACGTATATTGCGAAACTGAACCACCACCTTACAATAGGTTTTTGCATCTACCCTACATCTAAATTATTATTCTCTAAACTAGTCGCAATATTTTACAGGCACATACTAATAGAAATCGGAACAAAGCTGCCATGGTGTGAAATGCCAATGTTTGTTTTATAAGACTTTAATAACTTTATGTTAAAAAAACACATCACAATACTTCTGTTTTTAGGCATAGCAAATAAGAAATAATACTTAGAAGGAATAATTGAAATCTATCAGGTAGTTTTTCCGTACTGTGGATACAACGACAGACCTCTGTCATCTTATTTACATGAATAAAGATATTATGTCTCATTTATTTTAAACTTATTACAGTTCTAATAAAATGTAAAGCGTTTGATATGATGGATATGTACATTTAGAGTATTCAAATTCACCATTATTGAACCCAATTTGATGTACAGTTATTTTAATTATCTTAAATATTTATAAAAAAGCTTTCATACTTTGCGAATTTTGGTCTTGATGTAACGCAAAACAGTCATTTTTGGGGTTCCGTACCCTAAGGGTAAGACGGGACCCTATTACTAAGACTTCGCCGTCTGTCTGTATATCTGTCTATCCGTCTGTCTCTAGGCTGTATCTCATGAACAGTGATAGTTAGACAGTTGAAATTTTCACACATGATGTATTTCTGTTGCCGCCATAACGACAAATACGAAAAAACGGACGGGAACGAGGCAAATCAGCAAGAGGGTCACATAAAGTTTTGTTTTGATTGAACAAAGGATAAAATTATCCTTTGTTGTGACATTATTCTGTATCTAAAACGTTAGATATATATTTCACGTGCACAAATAGTTGTTCTATGTAGGAATCGAACCCACGATCCCCGATGCTCAGTCAATATCTTGCTAACTGCGGCAAAGAGTCATCAAATGTTAATTGATTAACGTCCACCATGGTGATTTATAAAACCTGTGCCTGCCGACGCATTGCTAAATTTTTAAAAATCCACTCACCAGAAGGAACGAAAACATAAATAATACTTGAACTTGAAGACTTCTGTAACAAGACGAGCCTGCCCAGAAGCTGGTGCGTGGCCATTTCGTAATAAATATTTTCTACTGTCCCGCGTCACTCTCTCTCGTCTTATGTTATGAACATTCGTAGCGCGCTGTCATTCTCGCTTCTTATAATAAAATGATATATCTACGTATAGTTTTATTAGAATATTTATTAATTTGAATTCAACCGTTATGTACTTAAAATTATTGGCGTATCTAAGGCCATTTTCCAGGGTGGGCCTGGGCCATTACTACAAAAAAATCAAACATTATGCATATTATAGTAGAGAAAATTCGAGAATTTCAATATCTACACCCGTACGGAGCTGGAACGGGTCGCTAGTTTCCTATATGAAGAAGAGTAATGCTTGACAACGTCTCTTCCCCCATGGTAGATCTCAACTTATTTTTTTTGATAGTTTCATAAGTGTCCAGCCTAGAATCTTGAATCGGTAACCCAAAATCCTGGGGGTGGGCACTAGACTATACTGGGGTGGGCACGGCCCACCCGGCCCCCCTGCTATATACGCCTATGCTTATAAGGGATATATTCCTTGCACAATAAAAAAGCAAGGAGTATCGTCGTGGTATTGCGGATTAAAATACCGTAGGCGCCAAACACGTGCGCTTGCGAAATATTTGACAGGTAGGAGCGCCGTTGCCGCCCCGCAACAAAGCGTCATACACGTTTTCCAACTAGATCACTGTGTACCGTTCTGCGCTACTTTCCACGCGGCATCAGAGCACAGTGCTTGTTTGTGGTGTTGGTCAAATGCTGTTAGATAAGGACGGCACTAACCGTTCTTTAATGTCGCGTCTCGGTTCGCGAAGGCTCCTGTGAGCGCCTGCTCCTATTATTTACGTTTTTTGTCGATTTTATTGTGCGCAGTAAAAAATGCTTGTGTCATACGACGTCGTAACTGCTTTCGGCGTGTCAGCGGTACGTATGCCTATTACTATCGGCCGATAGCGTAAAGATAGAGTGATTATCGATCTGGTTATAGAATCGATTTCGATGCAAAGGTTCGCCTGTGTTTATGAGGCTCGTGACAAAGAGTTAATGTTGCGTGACATTGAGCCTTGATAGATGACATTATAAACAAGTTTAGATAATAATTAAGAGACAATTAAAACGGTTAAAATAGGTTGTATACGTTCTAGATAGTTGATTTTATCGATAAATTGAATAAATCCAGCTAATTTAAATGTTGCTTGCAAATTCGCATGCTTAAAAACCCAACTGTTATGTACCAAATTATAATATCGAATAATTAAAATGAAATTTTTAGCTAATTTACTTTTACTAACTCTTAGCTATAGTACAAATGTGTGTTTTTTTACATTTTATTCACATATTATTTATAGCAAAGTATTTAATTCAAATCTACATTGTTACTTGAACTGACGTTTTTATTCATTTCATGATATTACAAACAACACAATCATAACATGCTCAATACAATTAGCAGATAATGTAAATAAACGCGTCGTTTACTTCCGAAGAAAGACAATCTCGTTAACTACAAAGTTGTAATTAACGAGATTAATAATACATCTTATTACATTTTTCATCAACGCCCGGTATCATATAAAATACACGGTATTTTTCATGTAATAGTATATAAGTCATTAAAAAATTGTTCCCACATTATCTCTTGCCATCGTGACACACTACTCTATAAGTTAAGACAGCTTAAAGAACTGAATTAATTAAGTTAATTTACAAAACTCTTCTAAAATGCAGTTTCAAAAGCTGATAATAAGATGTATATAATACATATCAAGTGTACAAATCGTAGTCATCTCATTACAAGAAAAACTGGTGTTTAGTAAAACTGTGCTGTTTTGCAAAGGTGACCTTTGCTATTGTCCGATTGTTTAACTTTAATTTTTATCCTTTTAAATACCTTGAACCTTCCGATAGCAGCGCGCAAGCTAATTATTTTTTTACATTGTCATCTAAACGTCTATTTCATTCGAAGAGGTATTAATCTGTAGCTAATACTGAATTCATACTATAAAAATATAATACAAATAAGTTTACATAGGCCTAGCAAGAAGACCATACCCGTGTTCAACAAGTGAAATTATCCATGTTAAATCGGTTATATCAAACAAAAATTTGTACTGTTTTCAACAACGGTCTAGCCTTTTTTTTTTTTCTTGAGAAAAATTCTTTAAGGTTCCTCTTCCACTGGATCGGGGACCAGTGGAGTGGCAGGGGTATGTGGGAGTCCCAGTCAGAAACGGGTACCCACTAAAACCCCACGTCTCTGTCGCATTGGCCGGGGACATGGGAACATATGGCCTTTTTAGGCCTCCTTCTACCACATGGTGCTGTGCCGGTGCAAACGGTCCAGCATGCGAATCGCTGTTAGTATAATCCAAAAAAATATAAAGGAACGACTCGTTACGCAGAAACCTACTAGTTCTATTTTGATACACCTACTTTGGAGTATGGGACCAAGATAGGCAGTTTGTTGCAGTTTTCTTTGCATCGTAAAAGCTGGCAAGCGGGCAGGCTTTGATGCTTGGTGATTACCGCCGCCCCTGGATATTGACAACATCCGACTTGTTGCAGAGCCATTGAAAAAGTGGGCCCCGGTTCCACCGCTCAACGGACGTAACGCGAAAGCGTAAACTCCACCTCACTCCGCACTGGTACTGGACCACCTATTCGTGCAACAGTGATTGTTACGTAGAACATTTTTTTATGTGAAAAGTTGCCAAACGAGCAAACGGTTCACCTGATGTTAAGTGAATACCGCCGCCCATGGACATCTGCTAACTACACCCGAGGGTTTGCAGATGCGTCGACAACCTTTTCGGAAATTGGGCTCCGGCTACCTCACTCACCACACGAAACGCGAAAGTATTATACTGCCACTTGACGCCGTTCTCCTGTGAGGTAGGTACTTACCCGGACGGGCCTGCCCATTCGTGCAACAGCCGTGGCTGCTGCGTGGCCCTACCACCGTAAGTGGTAGAGCCACCCAGCAGTATATAACATTGCCATCGTGTATCGCCAGCTGCTGTCGTTCGTCGTGTTCAGCGGGATCCTGCTAGCGCTGGCGGCGGCGGGCGGCTTGCTTCGGGCGCGGAAGGTGGGGAAAGCGGCGCTCACGAAGCAGATCGTCACGGAGAAGCTACTCCAGAACGGAACCATGGCGGTACCCTCGGCTCCTGAGCCGACCCCGGTAACCGCACGCCGCCTCTTAGGACCGCAGGACTAGCGAAGTCCAAAGTTCGAAGCAGTGTCATACATGCTTCATGTGTGATGTAAATTAGGATATGAATTGGGCATTTAATCGATTTCATTAAAACCGTATCGTTGCTGTAGTTATCGCTTCATAAACATTTCTAATTATGAATATATTACACTTATTTTAATCCCAAACTCATGCATCATATCATATCTATTCTCAATAGTATTCTGAATTCAAGGATGTTTTCAAATGATTTGTTAATGTTTTTTTGTGTAAAATTAGAATGAAAGTGGGATTTGTTAATGTTTGTAAATTTATTTGTATAATAATTATATCGTGATTTAGCCATTAAATAAAAGTGAGCCTTTCTTATTTTTATTACCATACTTTTATGATATTTTTAAATTGGCTTTTATTTAATGAATTATCAACGGGAAACAAATATTAAACCAATTATCATTAACTGCATTCAAGTTCTTAAATATTGGGGTAACACTAAACTACTACTAATGGTTACAGTATACATAAAGTACTTGTCTCTGTATATGTCCCACTGCTGGGCAAGGGCCTCCTCTGTACAGAGGTACCGGTGAGCACGTGGTTTTCTTCGGGCCAAACACTTGAGCGTGATAAAAATTATCTCACGAGACCTCTTTCGCAGCTTGGCCTAATTTATTTTTCGTTTGTGTCCGGCTTAATTCACCTTTGTCGGGCTCAGCGGATTTGGCGTTCAGTTAAAAATGACGGAGATTATAGCAGGTGGGATTCGAGGCGAAAACAGTTACCGAGGTTATTTTCCGGGACGGACGATTAGTTTTACCGACCTTTGATAGGCAACAAATGGAATGGCGTATCACTCCATTATAAAACAAAGTCGTCCCGCTGTCTGTCGTCTCTATGTACGCTTAGACTACGCAATGGATCTTGATGCGGTTTTTATTAGATAGTGTGCGAAGCCGGGGCGGGTCGCTAGTCATTACAAAAGAGATACGAGTTATCATGTTTATTCGTTTATGTTATAATTATCATGCTGGATTTTGTTCAAATTTTATGTGAACCATGTAATAAACGGTGTCATTTAACTAACACAAGTTCTTTTTTTCGGACACATTTCCACACAACGTTCTCTAGTCCCAAACTAAGCAACGCTTGTACTATGGATACTAGGAAACTGATAAACATACTTAAAAATACTTTTCTTTTGTAAAATATTTATGTTATAAACACCCAAATGGAAAAACACTATGTTCATCACACAATATTTTCCCAGTAGTAGGGATCGAACCCACGCCTTCCGGTGCAGGAGGCAGGTTCTCTACCCACTACGCCAATCGGGTCAAATACTTTGAACTCTAGTTTTTGGTCGACTTACAATGTTTACTAATACCTTCTGCATTAACTCTATTTTTGTCACGAGGTAAAGTACTGTTATTAACTTTTATTGCAATACAGAATATACTTTTATTCTAAACTTTGAAAAAATCATGAAATGCCAAACGCCTTTAAAAAAACACAGCAATATTTTATTTATAACATTCGACCGTGTAACCGTTTAACCGTGTGACCCCACTGCGTATTGTTGTATTTATTTAACGATGTATACTAAAAATAAATAATGACTGCGTTCGAAGTGTAATAACCTAATCAGCTAGTCATTTGTGTAACAAGTAGAAATGGAGTTATAAACGTTAATAAACGTTTGTATGGCAGTTAAAAGTAACGAATAGGAAAAAGGAATGACTCCATAGCGAAGCTGCCAACGCTTCGGCGTCGGGGGTCGTGGGTTCGATCCCCACACAGGACAACTATTTATGTGACCGACAGATAGTTGTATGGCATCTGGGTGTTTGTCCGCGTTAAATTTATGCTTGTAAAACATCCTTACATCACAGGATAATGTTATCCTACAGTGTAGGCAATGTTTAAAACAATAAAACAAGATTGAGAATTCAGTTGCTGTTTGTAGAGATTTCTTTTTTGAACCTTCTACTTTTGGGCGACACATTGGGGGTCACAGGATAGAGTTGATGTGTGTATATATGAGTTGTTATATTACATGTGTGAGATGAAACTATTTTTATAGATTTATCTCGTTTATTTTTAACATGGTCATGGGAGAGTCCGTCCCATGGCCATGAACGCCTGATATTAGGTATTTTTATTAAACCAGGTTATCCCCAAATTTTTGATCTTTTTATATATAATGAAGGTCACACGATTGTTTAAAAAGATGTTCTTAAAAAATGCGCTCGTGGCTAAGTTCATGGCATTTGAGACATAAATACTCGCCTTACTCTACAGAAGAGTGTGTAATAGAATGATTAGGAGAAGAGGCGATGGTAGGGCTACGCACGTTGCACGAATGGACAAGTCCGTCCGGGTAAGTACCACGAACTCACAGAAGACCGGCGTAAAGTAGAAGTGTTACACTTCTGCGTTTCGCCTGGTGAGTGAGGTAGCCGGGGCCAACTTTATTTAAAGGTGGCAATGCATTTGCAATCCTATGAGTGTTGCAATTATCCATGGGCGTATGTTATCGCTTAACATTAGGTGAACCGCCAGTACGTTTGCCACTTTGTCACTTAAAAAAAAAAGAAAGAAGGTCATACTTTTATATTTTAAAATGAATAATCACTCCTTTTTCTTCACCAATTTCTTGCAATTTTCGGTTCTTGACTAACATTCGGCAAATCAATATCTTTTCACAGTGTTTTTCAGCCGCATCGACATCAAAAAAATGTGAATTAAAAAGCGACATATGTTCTAACGTCGACAGTATAGTTTTTTTCAGCCGCATTCGCATTCTCCCTCAGAGGAGTAAATAATTTCTTGTATTTACGCGATTACACATTATAAAAGAAAAATTAAAAAAAATGTGAATTAAAGCGACATATATAGGCCATATATGTCCCGCCGCTGAAACTAATGACACGTCTCAAAGCGAATTTCAATATGCAGCTCCGATATTTCAGCTTTGACAAACGCTTGCAAAAGAACGATTCCCCAAGGATTCGCGTCCTTTTCAATAGAGGGGTTGGGTACAGTTCTCCCTCCCAAACGAACCACTACTGCAAGACAAGCGGTAGCCCGGGTTAACTATGACAGGAGTATTCTTAATCAGGAAAACTGCCTTGGAGCCCAGGTGACGGCCTTAATTAACTCTTTGCGAGTTATCAAACTAACAGCGGTCCCTGCCTCCAAGCAAACGGTGCTCTAGTACTATAGGAGACCCCGTCTACACGCAGATGGATATAGCGTCGAGACGGCACTAAAGCATAGTTAATTAAACCTAGCCGTACAGCGTTGGAGAAATTCACGTGTAAACGAGCGTTTCGTGAGCACGTAGGCTAGAATAAGACTATTATACCTGTTTATTATATTGTAAATTGATACTTTTGAAAAAGAGCAACTGTTGAGTTTCTTGCCGGTCTCTTCTCGACAGAAACCGCTTTCCGAACCGGTGGTACCTTACGAAACTATATACATAATCTTTGATGTAAAATTTGACGATTCATAAGAGCGCGCAAGCGTCTATTTGAATAAATGTATTTTTGATTTTGATTTTGATTTTAGTGCAGAGTGGTCTGATTGGTCAGTTTAAGACCAATGATAGATATAAATATTTAAGGACACATTTCTTCACAACGTTCTCTAGTCCCAAACTAAGCAACGCTCGTATTATGGGTGCTAGATAACTGTTAAACATACATAAACATATTTCTTTAAATACATTTTGTAAATAAATGCATATTATAAAAACATCATGTTCACAATATTTTTCCAGTAGTGGGAATCGAACTCACACCCTCTGGCGCAAGAGGCATGTTCACTGCCGACTACGCTAATCGAGTCGTCACTAAATAGTTTAAAACAAAGTCGCTCCGCTGTCTGTCTGTCCCTATGTATGCTTAGATCTTGATGCGGTTTTTTTACTAGATTCAAGAGGAAGGTTTTTATGTATAGTGCATTGCACCAGTGCAAAGCCGGGGTGGGCCGAGTCTAGTCAAGAATAAATAAGCATCCCTATTACCATAACTGTCAAGGTAGCTTCGGTGTCGGGCTTCATGGGTTCGATTCCTATTTAAGGTAGGTAGTTCTTTTCGGGACTTACACAACTGTTTCGGATCTGGGTGTTTGTCCGGGCTTATTATTTCTTATACCAATAGTTAGGCATTCATAAGTATCATGGCGTAAAAGCAATCTCAGAGAGATGATGTTCCAATTCATTTCACAACATTTATGGTTTTTTTTTTTTGTGAAAAACTAGCAAACGATCTGGCGGTTCATCTGATGTTAATGATTACCGCCCCTGATGGACATCTACAACACTTGAGGGCTTGCAGATGCGTTGACAACCTTAAAATAAGTGTCACCCGGATACCTCACTCCCGTGGTAATTCCCCGGCCGAGCCTGCACGTCCGTGCAACATCATAAGCTGTTCGAGATGATGTCAGGCATTGGAACTTAAGTGGAAAGTTGAAGCACATCGCAAAAAAATGTTTAGGGCTAGTAAGGGGTTCATAGTTTTTCTTTTGTTATGAATCCAATTTGGACCAAAAAAAAATTTTTAAACCTTATTTAAAAGTGAATTTGTCACCTCCTCGTTTGTTTCCATCACGTTCTAAGCTTCTGTTATTCCCGCAATCGGGAAAGTGTTCTCGTTATTCCCGTCAACGGCTTTAATTAACCCTTTGAGATCGATTGTAAAACTTAAAGCGTTATCTGCCTTCAAGATAACAGTAGTCTGCTACAAGAAGGACCCGCGAAGATGGCTGTATCCTCGAGACGGTACAAATTGCCGTTGATTACATCCATCCGCGGAGATTCACTGAAACCCGGGTGTAAACGGGCGTTTCACGCGCCACGTTTGGAATGTTGTGTTAGTTTGAGATTTGTTTTATTTTAATGAGCAAAAAATCCACAGCCTTTAGTCGTTTACATGTATATCACATATTCTTAACTCACAGCCAAGGAAAGGAAGGGTTTACATTTTATCGTTAGAATATATAAAATAATTAAAATA